AGGGTTTAGGGTACGCATAGGGTTTAGGGGTTTAGGGTTTAGGGATTAGCGTTGGGGATGGGTCACGGGATGGTGCGCTTGCAGAGTCCTTCGCTTGTGAGTTTCGGGGGAGAAGGTTCCGAGTGAATGGTCCCAAACGATGGAGCGGATGACACGCACCATGACGATGATGCCAACGGTGGTGATCCCAGAGACTCAACCCCTTAATTAAGGAATATACCTTAAACTATAATAGGAACCCTAATATGATTTAAGGTCTATTCCTTAATTAAGGGGTTTTGGAGTCTCTGGGATAGCTGCTGCAGCTCATGATGATGGCGAGGAAAAAGCTGCAGGATTTCAAAGATGGTCACAAGTTTTATTGGTTGCATCGTTTATGGATTTCGTGCTAGAATAAGCTCTATGCAACTGCTTGTGTTTCGCGCACCACAAAGCCGTCTTTGATACTCCCACGCACTGTTTCCAACCTACCTCAAGGCAACATAAGACAAATGCGGCTGACCCCCTAACCGCAAGAAAGCCTCACAATGCTCCGTTGTCCTGGTCCCCGAATAGCCCTGATGCTCGCATGGATCGCCGAAGATGTGAGGCTTCATCGAGAGAGTAGGGGAGCTCGAGCAAAACCCTCGAAGCTCAACTTCGGCCAACCCCCTAAACCCTACAAGCCTAAAGCCCAAAAAGCCCCTAAGCCCTGAACCCTAAAAGCCTAAAGCCCTATAAGCACCCTGAAGTCGGGTTGTCTTTCTCTGAGTCCCTGAGGCGTACCTGAAGCTTCACACTCAAGATCTAACCTCGCAAACTCCGTGTCCCCGGATCCTCAACCCTAAACCCTGAACCCTAAACCCTAAACTCTAAGCCCTAAACCCTAAAACCCTAAACCCTACACCCTAAACCCTATAGGCTTCGGAGTCGTTGCGACGAAAAGGGCCCTCAAAAAAAAAAAAACAAAACCCTAAGCCCTAAATCCGAAGCCGTAAACCCTAAACCCTACACCCTCTCCTCTGGGCATCTGCTCGCTCCTTTAAACCCGAAACCGAGCAGCCAGGCTCCCTCTCGCAGCGCTCCGAACCAGCTGCAGGCTGCTGGGTGCGGGTCTTCGGGCTTTAAATTTGTCCCTTTTGGGTTTTTTTAGGGGGTTTTAGGGGTTTAGGGGTTTAGGGTTTAAGGGTTTAGGGGATTAGGGGCTTAGGGGTTTAGGGGTGTAGGGGTTTAGGCTTTAGGGTCTTAGGGCTTAGGGGTTTAGGGTTTAGGGGTTTAGGGGTTTAGGCTTTAGGGTTTAGGGATGGACTCTTCCTGGGAAGGACGGGAGGAGATGCCGCCGGCTGCTGGAAGCGCTGCTGGGGTTTGCTGCCGGGGAGGGCCGCGACCTGAGTCCTTTGCACCTCGAGCCAAGGATTTCCGCCTTTGCGGTTTAGGGGTTTAGGGTTTGGGGGTTTAGGGGTTTAGGGGTTTAGGGTTTAGGGTTTAGGGTTTAGGGGTTTAGGGGTTTAGGTTTCAGGGTTTAGGGGTTCAGGGGTTTAGGGTTTAGGTTTCAGTAGGGTTTAGGGTTTAGGTTTCAGGGTTTAGGGTTTGGGGGTTTAGGGAATAGGGTTTAGGGAGCTGGCAAACACACGCCCAGGCCAGTGATGAGATGCCCCGCTGATGAAGCTGACGCCAAAGGTCAGGACCTGTCAGGGGTTGCAAAAGTGGTCAATGATGCGTAGTACTGCACGTTCGCGTTTTTTTAGCAATGAGAGGTATCAGCCCTGCCATCCCAGCATCATCTCATCTAATCCTTGTCGTTGTTCGTCGTCATGGCCGCCACTACCATCATCATCGTCGTCATCGTCATTGCCATCCTCATCCTCACCGTCACAGTCATCGTCATCGTCATCGTCGTCATCACCACTCCCATCATCGCCATAATCGCCATCATCACTGCTATTGTCGCCAACTCCTCCTCCTCATCGTTATCTGCCTTCATTGCCATCTTCCTATTAGTCTCGGCCTACTACTATTTCGACTACCATTATGATTATTATCATCATTATCATTATCATTATCATTATTGATTATGATCATGATTATGATTATTATACTTATTACCATTACTACTACTATGAAGACAGAGCCCCTCCTGGACCCTGTCAGACTGCGGAGGCCCGGCCTCTGCATGGCTCCGCCCGGGGCGCAGTCAGCGAGGCGGAAGCTCTGAGTGCATCCGCGCGGAGGTTTTCTCTGTGGGCTTTATAGGCCCCAAGCCCTAAGCCCATAAACCCATAAACCATAAACGCTAAACTGTAAGCCCTGAACCCGTAAACCCTAAACCCTAAGCCCTAAACCCTGAACCCTGAACCCTAAGCCCTAAACCCTAAACGCTGAACCCTAAACCCTAAGGCTCTAGGTTCGGGAGCTTCAGGGCGTAAGTTGGAGCAGGGGGAACTTAGTTTCATTAGGGTTTAGGGGTTAGGGTTTAGGGGTTTAGGCGTTCAGGGGTTTGGGGGTTTAGGGGTTTAGGTGTTTAGGGGTTTAGGGGTTTAGGGTTTAAGGTTTAGGGTTTAGGGGTTTAGGGCTTTAGGGTTTCAGTTGATTCAATGATGCATGCCTCAGAGCCTAACAGAAACCTTGGTGGAGCCCATACGAAACTTCATCCAAAACAGTAGCAATGGTTACAAAATCGAAATTTCGTCGCGGCCGTTGTGGTGGTGGTGGTGGTGCTGGTGGTAGTAGTGGTAATCGGAACACACGAGGAACAACAAGAGGGTTCAATGGCCAGAGCAGTAGCAGATGACGTCGAGGCCCGGGCGGCAGAGGGCTCCAGCGAATGGGCCGCCGCCGGAGGGTTTGAGGCAGGGGGTCTGAGTTATCTTTGAGTCGGTTTGCTGGTGGCTTCTGCCTTCGAAGGCTCGGCTGCTGGGATCGAAGCCTGTTGAGGATGTTTTGGGCTCTTGGGGCCTTAGGGTTTAGGGTTTAGGGTTTAGGGTTTAGGATTTTGGGCTCTTAGGGTCTGCTTTTTTCGGAGTTTAGGAGTTTCAGATCAGCTGATGGTTTCTTGAAGATGTCTTCCAAGAGCCTGCGTTGCATGGCCGCAGCTGCGAAAGATCTTGGGGAATCGAGCCGACCGCGCACGAAACCCTGGGCTTTCCTCTGGGCCAAGAGCGTCCGGTGCAGAGCCAGTTGTAAAGAGACCTCTAAGAGCTTCTGCAAAGAGACCCCTAAGAGCTTCTGTAAAGAGACCCCTAAGAGCTTCTGTAAAGAGACCCCTAAGAGCTTCTGCGCCCTCTGACCATGATGGCCCCATGACGGCCATCCCCGAAGGCTATGTGCCCGTGGTCGACTTTGGCTTTTGTCCACCCTCGGGGATCTTCTTTCAGCTGGGGCTCTACCTCTTCGAGCCTCGTTCAGCTGTGAGAGCTTTTTGCACCTCTTGGTTCCTAGGAAGTATCGAACGATAGAGTAGAGTATAATATAATAGAACATAGTATACTATAGTATCATAGAATAGACCATAATATAATATAACATAAAAGAGCTCCGCCTCTTTTAGGGCCTCCAGGGTCGCCTCACCGAGTCCCGACCAAGACATCGTGAACGACCTGGTCCAGATCAGCACCTTTCTACTGCACGGAGACTGGTGGTTTGCCGCGGTTCTGAGCTTCTTCATTTTTCTTAGCTTGGGACTCACGATCCCGAAGATGTGGGCGGACAGCGATCTGCAGCGCTTCGACCCACTGGGCGAAGCCCGGCTCTCCTTGGCCCGGGGGGTGCCGACCGTGGCTTGGGAGCGGATGCTAGCTGCGGAGCGGAACATCGAAGCCCCGAGCACGGGGCTCATCGCGCCCTACGGCGCAACGTTGCTGGCACTCACGCCGCTGCAGGCAGCCAGCTGCCTCTATGGGCTCTGCACCTCCGCAAAGGCCATGGCCGAGGGCCGGCTGCATGTGGAGGCAGGCCGTGAAAAGAGCTGTCGAGGAGCTGTAGCTGTTTTTTTGTGTAGGGATGCTCGGAGAGCCTGGAGTCCTTGAAATCAGGGTCTCGCAAAGCTGTCTAGGATTTTAGTAGGATCCTGTCGTAGAGGGACGTTGACCCAGGCAGCTCTTATAGACGTGATGCATTGTTGCGTGCAGGTGGTGAATGGCACGGACACTGGAGGCGCAGAAGCCTTGAAAGCCGTTCGCCCGGTGAAGGCCGCCCTGCTCTTTGCCTGGTATTTCGCCGCCTTTGCTGCGGAGCTGGCGGCCTTCGCCGTGGCGAGCGCTACCCTGCACCCCATCATCGTGGTGCCGGGGTACCTCCTCGGTGCAGTGGCGAACGGAGCAGCGACGTGGTGGTCTGGATCACAGGATTTTTTGGACACGGCGGCATTATCTTGCGTCATGGTTGCCTTTGCTATGGCAGGCGACCAGACGAAAAGCTTCTTAAAGAACACAGCAACGAAGACCGAAGCTAGTGGCCCGGGCTTTATTCCAGCGCTCGTTATTCTTGCCCGCTTCATCTCCTGGACGGCCCTCTGCTTCCTCGATTTTCCCCAGGGCCTTCTTCAACTGGGCTCCCTGGGCCGCCCTATGGGCCTCCCGGTGCTCCGGGAAAAATTCCTGGAGCCGGCTGCGGCTTCTTGGGAGGCCGTGGCGTGTTTCACTTCGCATTTCTGGATATCTGTCGAACCGGAGGCCAATGCGACTTCCATGTCTTTGACCGAAGAGGTGGGTTTTGGCGACTGCGGCTGGCCGACAAGCGGCCAGCTGAGTAGTGCATCAACAATCTTTAACACCTGTTTGTTCTCCTTGGCTGTGATTCTTGTCCCACTTCACATGTGCATTGTGATCGGAATGTTGCTTTGCAATCCCATTTACGCCTGTGGCGACGAGAACCTCAGCCTCAAAGAGGAGGTCGAAGCGAAGCAGCGCGAAATCAACGATTTCGCGGAGCGCAGCGAGCAAGCTGCGGGACAGCACGAGCAGCTGAGTTCTCTTGCAGACCAGGCAACGTGCACATGTCTGTGTGACATGTCACCGCATGGAAGCAGGACTATATAAAGCGACCTGGAAACGAAAAGACGAGTGCTGAGCTCTCACAACTCGTGTTGCCAACCTCGCACAACAAAGCCGATAGGAAGCTTCCGTGCAAGAGCGCGCGCACGCTCTTGGTGCAAGACTTTGTCTACCTCATCCGAATAATTAGAATAGGGTTTGGGGGTATTTTCTATTATAACTATAATAAGGACCGCTGAAACTCTCGTGCAGAAGCCGAAAGCTCGGAGTGAAGCATCGGAGATGTACGTAGCTTGCTTGGGGTTTAGGGTTTAGGGTTTAGGGATTGGGGGCAGAGAATCTCCGGTCCAGAGATCTTCGGCGTTTTTTCTGGGGAGACAGATCTCCCGGTTCTCCGAGCTTTGTTTGGGGGCCCATCTCCACATCAAGTCTGGCAGCTGTGTTCAAGCAGCCGCTCCACCGCGGATCTCATACTATTCACATGTGGGGCGTAGCCCAGCTAAGCACAATCTGGGGAATTCTGTAAACGAGCGCCAATGAAGACTTGTAATGCTTTCCTTCCCTTCTCACGTGCTGAAGCAGGGCAAAGGCTTGAAGACACTCCCAAACGAAACCAGTCAGTTCAAAATAGAGCACTGCCGGTTACTTGCTGCGCCCCTGAACCCTAAACGCCGAACCTACAGTAAAGCCCTAATCGCCAAACCCAGCTTAAGTCAACAAAGAACCCCAAACCTACAACCTCAAAGCTCTGAGCGTTTAAGGGTTAGGGCTTGAGGTTCGAGGGTTAGGGTTTAGGGCTTAAGGGTTACGGCTTAGGGCTTTGGGTTTAGGGTTCCCTTAGCTGTATAGCCCTCATCACCACCGGCGCAGGGCTGCAGCCAGGGCGCCGCCGTGGTCCGTGAGGCCGGATCTCAGAGCTTTTCCGTCCAAGAAGTCTTGGTTTCTGCTGGGGACTCATGAGCCTGCGGGTCAGGGCTCGGACACATCTGAGTGCGGGTTTGAGAAATAGGGGCTGTTGATGTGCACGTGTAAGAGCCTGCAGCTGCGAAAGATCTTGGGGATCGAGCCGACCGCGCACGAAACCCTGAGCTTTCCTTTGTGATTGGAGCTGCTCTCCGCGATGGATGTCCCCAAAGGCTACGCTCCAGTCGTCGCCTTTAGCTTGTGTCCACCTTCGGGGATTTTCTTCCAGCTTGCCGTGTACCTTTTCGAGCCTCGGCCATGCTGTTAGGGTTTTGTCCCACCCTAAACCCTAAACCCTAAACCCTATAAATCCTAAACCCTATAAAACCTAAACCCTAAACCGTAATAGGGGCGTCTTGCTGCTTACAAGGGGTCTCGGGGTGGAATGTGGGGCCCCTGAGTCCAAGCCTCCCCCCGCGCAGGACATCGTGAACGACCTGGTTCAAATTAGCACCTTTCTACTGCACAGAGACTGGTGGTTTGCAGGATTCATGAGTTTCTTCATCCTCCTAAGCTTGGCGCTCGCAGTCCCTGAGATGGCGGAGGAGAGCAAGCTTCGGCGCTTCGACCCGCTGGGCGAAGCCCGTCTCTGTTTGGCCCGAGGTGTGCCGACCGTGGCTTGGGAGGTGATGCTCGCTTGTGAGTGGAGCATCGAAGCACCTGCCACCGGGCTCATCGCACCCTACGGCGCAACGTTGCTGGCACTCACGCCGCTGCAGGCAGCCAGCTGCCTCTATGGGTTGGTGAGCTCAGCAAAGGGCATGGCCGAGGGCAGATTGGGTGCGGAGGCGGGCTATTGCCGAAAAGATTGAGAAGGCTGCATCGTAGGATAGGTCACGCAAATCTGTGTAGGCCTGTACATGCCCATGCTACAAGAACGTACTGGGAAGCTTCTAGACACATGCGGGTGGTGTGTAGCCTGTGCGGCCGCCCATCGATGCCGGGACAAGTTTCAAGACCCTCGGGAGGTGTCGACCGGCACTGACGGTGCGGAAGCACATGCGTTGAAAGCAGTTCGCCCGGTAAAGGTAGGGGTTTTCTTTGCTTGGTACTTGGGCGCATTTGTGGCGGAGCTGGCTGGCTTCGCCGTGGCGAGTGCGACATTGCACCCCATCATCACAGTGCCTGGGTACCTCCTTGGTGCAGTGGCGAACGGCGCAGCGGCCAGGTGGAGTGGATCGCAGGATTTTTTGGATGCCGCACGAAATTCTTGCTTCTTGGTTGGCATTGCCATGGCAGGCCTCCAGACCAAAAGCTTCCTCAAGAACACAGCAACAATAACTGGAGGAGGAGGCCCCGGCTACATTGCAGCGGTTTGCATTCTGATGCGCTTCATCGCCTGGACGGCCCTCTGCCGATTGGACCTTCCCCAGGGCCTTCTTCCCCTGGGCTCGCTAGGACGGCCCATGGGCCTCCCGGTGCTCCGGGAAAAATTCCTAGAGCCGGCCGCCGCTTCTTGGGAGGCCGTGGCGTGTTTCACTTCTCATTTCTGGATATCTGTCGAACCGGAGGCCAATGCGACTTCCGTAGCTTTGACCGAAGAGGTGGAGTTTGGCGACTGCGGCTGGCCGACAAGCGGCCAGCTGAGTAGTGCCTCCACCATCTTCAACAGCTGCCTGTTCTCCTTGGCTGCGGTTCTTGTCCCATTGCACATGTGCATTGTGATCGGAATGTTGCTTTGCAATCGCCTGTGGCGACGAGAACCTCAGCCTCAAAGAGGAGGTCGAAGCGAAGCAGCGCGAAATCAACGATTTCGCGGAGCGGAACGAGCAAGCTGCGGGACAGCACGAGCAGCTGAGCCTGCTTCCGAATTAGGCAGAGTCCCCTGGCAGAGCCGATGAAACCCGACCCTGGGAGAAACCCTTGCTGAAGGACTTCAATGTCTAAGCCTCAGCCCTTAGTTTGGGAGTTGGCATCCCTCCCCGTTGCAGGCCCTGGCTCTAACACGGACGATCACCGGCTTTGGCCGCGCGGCGCGCTGGGAGGAGGTGCCTGCAAAGAGTTTCGGGATCCGAGCAGGTTCGGGCTGTGAGGGCCGCAGATATCTCGAGGAGCAGTAGGTCAACGCCGAAACTTGAAACCCTTGCGCCTTAAACCCACGGCCCCAAACCCTCAAGTGCCAAACCCGCTGAATCCTAAACCCGGTTCTTGTAAGATGTCGGCCCGATCTCGGCCGCACACCCGACAGCTGCCATAGCCAAAGCTAATTGTCCTTGACTTTACAAGCCTAAAAAAGCCCTAAATCCAAGGCACTGGAAGAACCCAAAATCCGACACAGATCCCCTTGGCCCTGCGCGCCCGAACAAAAAAACATCCTTGAGCCATAAATTAAGAAAGCTCGGCAGAGGCAATACAGAAGTTCGCGGACTTCAGGCGGCGAAGCATTGAGAACCTGGGCCGACATGCGATTGATGACACTTGTAGTAGTGCGGCTTTTGGCGTGCAGGGTCTCTGCCCGGCCACCACGTTTCCAGGGGTTTCTGTCTTAATCCCAATCCTGTCGGAGATGCAAAGCACTCGGTCGCAGTTTAGGGTATCCGAAGAGTCATACGACTAATTGCATCGCCCCCTGGATGTGTTCTACTCTGGTCTGCCTGAGCCTTGTTCCAGGTCCCATCGAAGCTCCAGATACTTCGGAGCGGAGGCCTTTCGATTGGTCCAGAATTCGTTTCTCTGAGGTACGACGGCGTGGCCCTGAACGCGGCCATGAGCGCTTGCAGCAAGGCGCGTTGACTCTGAAGCTGTGAGACCCTTTGGTCGAAGAGTTCCACTCAGCTCGAAGCTTCGGGAGTGCTGTATCTTTGGGTTTAGGAGTTTGGTGAGTTTGGATCGACCGCCATCTGAGGGAAGCAAAGAAGCCGAAGCAGCTGCCTGTGCCCAGGGGGCAGCTTGGCGTCGAGCACTTCTTCTTTTTGCCGAGGTCCGCTGGCAACAATTCACGTAAGTGGTTCCGATCCGCGACTTGGGATCATGAATCTGAATGCCCTCTGCAATGTTTTCAATCGGCAGAGCTCGAAAAGGCCTTCGCGGTCGCAAGGCCGCAGATCTCAACCGCTTGCTTTCCGAAGGCAGAAAAAGTCTCTAGTAGCTTCAATCGGGATTCATAAAATCCGAAGCTTCAGAATCGCGCCACGTCAACACCCACAATCCCCGAAACCTGAAAAGTCGGCTCAACCCTTGCCGCGCTTTCGCGAATCGGCCCCGAGACCCTTGCGAGCTCGGTGGAATCCACAAAAGCCAGAGTCTGAACCAGAAGCGGGGGGATCCCCTGCACCCTGAACCCTATAAACCCTAAACCGCCTAAACCCTAACTAAACCCTAAAAGCCCGAACTGAACCCGATTCCGAGCTTAAGGCCGCCGCCCCAGTTATTCCTCGAAGCCCCCCCGAGACCCTCTGACCCGACCTACTCTCGAGCCTCCTAAACCCTAAAACCCTAACCCCGGAATCCCTCCACCCCCCGGAGCTCCAAGAGCCCCAAAGGCCCGAAATCCTCCAAAACCGTGTCAAAAAACCCCTTAAACCCTAAAGCCCTATAAACCCTAAACCCTATAAACTATAACCCCTATAAACCCTGTAAACCCTATAAGCCCTGTAAACCCTATAAACCCTATAAACCCAATCTCAGGAAACCTAAGACCCTAAAATCCACCCCAGCGCCTATGCTTCTCTGGACTCGAAGCCGCGAGGCGCGAAGGGAAGGTCTTGCGCCCACGGCCGTGACCCACAACACGGTGCTCGACGCCTTGGAGCCTCCGACAGGAGTTTGTGAAGGGGCAACGGATGATACCTGAAAAGTACAGACTCTTCTCTGGGTGTTCTCGTCTTTCGTGAAAGGGCGTCATGGCCTACTGTTCGTGATAGGCTTGGGGGCGGCAGGTAGTAAGTGCTGTCGTCTTGAAGCCCGAGTTGTAAGTGTTCTTGTGTGTGTGTGTGTGCTGTTCCACGGGATTCCTCCTTCCGGATTTCAAGGAGCACGTCCTGGGAGGTCGTGTGCATACCTCGGTCTATAGAGACTATCCGGGCATGTGTCTGGAGACAAGGGACAGCTACGGCAGTTCTTGTTTAGACTCTCAGAGAACTCCATGGGCCCTTTCCGAAGCCTTCACATGCATTTCACGATGAGCCTTGGTCAAACCTGCAGTAAAAAGAAGGTCAGGCAGAGTTGTCAGTTGTCAGATGCTCATGGCTGCTTTAACATTCCGGGTGCTCATGCATGTCGCTCGGGGATTTACTTGTCTTGTTTTGCCAGTCTTATGCGTGGGGTTTTGAAGCCCTCCCCCCCCGCACGCCCCTCACTGCCAGAAAGCGTCCCAAGACTTCCGGAATTATAACCAGAGCGCTGAAGCCTTCAACTCTAAACCCCTTAACCCCTTAAGCCCTTAACCCCCGAAGCCCTTAAACCCCTTAACCCCTAACCCTTCAACCCTTGAACCCCTCAACCCCTTAAACCCTGAACCCTTCAACCCCTCCCTGAACGCTTCAACCCCGTACAAGCTCAGGGGAAAGGCGCTGGATGGCGCGAGGTCCTCAGCCTGCGGCTTGGGCGGATGTAAGCTTTGCCTGGGTCCTCGTTGGCTAAATAAATTTGTGATATAATAAAACCCAATAAAATTGATCATGTAAAAAAAGACCAACAGGGAACCGCTGTTTAGGGACTTAGAAAACGATCTCCAGGGCGTAAGAGCCCTCTCAGGGCAGATCAAGCATTAGCCTACTTGGGGGTTCATGGGGTAATTATAACTGGGGTATATTCATCCATACTTACAACCCCATATTAGGGGACTTACATAACCCCACGTATAACTAACCACCCATGAACCTCCAAGTACCACAACAGCTTGCAGCCTGAGCAAGAAAGCCTGAACCGAAGCGTTCAAGTCCAAATCCCCCCAAAAAAGGAAAAGCCCCAGGTTGGGTGCCCTGGTGCTGGCCACCCTCCGGCCGGACGCCTTCTCCCGCAGCGCCGTCATCAACGGCTTTGGAAAGGCCTGGTGCCCCCTTCAACCCTAAACCCCTAAACCCCTAAACCCTAACCCCTAAACCCTTACCGTGCTCGAAGTCCCAATCCTTAAACTGCAGAAGCAGGGGTCTGAGATCAGTTCTTTTGGAAGAAGCCTTTGTGCCCTAAACCCTAAACCCCATTTCTTCTAATGAAAGAAGCCCAAGCCCCAAATCCAACCCCAAAAACAGAAGCGCCCTCAACCCTAAACCTTAAACCTAAACCCTAAACCCTCTAAACCCTAAACTTTCTTAAAGCCCTAAGCCCCCTAATCTTTCTAAACCCTAAACCCCCTAAAAACCCCTCAAAGCGCCCCCAAAAGGCCGGGCAGTGGCCGAAGGCGAGGCAGCTCTTGGCCGCCGGCCTCGCGCTGGGCGCGGTCCTGGCCCTGGTCCCCTGCGCCCCTGGCGGCAAGGGATTTATAAAGGGGGAGTTTTGAGTTTTAGGGTTTGGGGTTTCTGGATGTCGGGTGCATTTCGGGGGAAAGGAGGTTTGGGCTGCCGAAATGTACTGGTCGCTGGGTCTGGCCTAAAAGGGCGGCGCGGGCTAGCATGGGCTCTGGCCGCTGGCCCTGCCGCAAAGCCTGGTACGAGACGCTGCGTTTCGGGACACCCCAATGAGCTGGCCGTGCCGCAACCCCGGGGCCCGGCGGGCTGGCCGCCCTGCTCGGGGCACTGGGACTCTGGCTGGCTTGGCCAGGCTACACCACAATGCAGCCTTCACGGAAAAATTAAATGACAACATTGCGAAGATCCGGCGCCGAAAACACACTCCTTCAGTCGTGCAGGTGTTCTCGCCTTACGTGTGCGAAGAAACATATAAAGCCGTAGGCCCTGAGAGTTGTAAGTGGGTGGACTTGGGGTGGGCAAGCCCACAGCCCGACACGCGGCCACAAAAGCGCGCTTTCGTTTGGCACGCCCTCAGCCCTAAACCCTAAACTCTTACCTTACACCCTGCCAGGTCTACAGTCTACCAAATTGTTATGACGAATTTGCCAACACGACTACAGATTATTCCTCAGCTCGTTCAGTCCCCCTTCCTGTACGCCCCTACGTGCGGAGCTCGAGGCAACGGCGCGCTGAGTGCCTGCGCCCGGGCTGCCTCTTGGGAGGAGGCGCTTCAGCCCTGCACTTGCAGGCTTTCGGAGCTTCCTTCATCTTCCTGGCTTATGATTTTGAGAAGGCTTCTTAGATTCTTAGACGCAGAGGCATCTTTCTGAGCTTCTTTCATCTTCCTGGCTTAGGAATTGTAGAAATGCTTCTTAGATTCTTCGAGGCATCTTTCAGTATACGGTTTCCCATGAAGCTAGAAGCAGGGCGACTAAACAGGGCTGAGACGATCTGCGTGGAGGCATCTCCCAGCTCCGAACCCCCCAAGTCCTAAGAAGGCCCTCCTCAAGTCAAGTCACCCAAAAGGGGGGGGGTTTCGTGCCGGGCCCCACTGTAAGCCTTGAGCTTGACACCCGAAGCCCCCCAGTCCCAAAGTCAGCGCTGCGAGCCTTTGAAGCTGCAGGGCCTGGACTCCACAATGCAGACAGCAGGAATGCTCATATCATGTGCCGGATGACTTTAACCTCACCCCTACTGTAAACCCTAAACCCCTAAACCCCAAACCCGTGCCCTTAAACCCCCTAAGCCCTGGAGCCCGAGCCACAATCCTGAAACCCTAAACTTTTTCAGGGATGTCGGGACTTGCTGCAGAGGCCCTGGACTTCTTCGATGCCGCGCCGCAGCCGGACGTGATCTCCTGGAACGCGCTGTGAGCCGGCGGATATGGCGGTTTTGGAGAGCGGGTTGTGGTAGTTCTGGGTTTGGGGTTCAGGGTTTAGGGTTTAGGGTTC